GGAGCGTGCCACTGCACTCCAGTCTGGGTGACAGAGTGAGATTCCAACTCAAAATAAAATAAAATAAAAAATAAAAACAGTCAGCTGAAGAAGCCCCAGAGAATAAAATCCTGGACATAGAGGAAAGCCTCTATCGATTTCTGGCCCTTTAATCCTTTTTTCCTCTCTCTGTTCAGAGGGCCCAATAGACATCAACATGAGTGAAATCGGAATGGATTACATTCATGAAATCTTCTCCAAAGACCCAGCCATCAAGCTTGGTGGTCACTGGAAACCTTCTGATTGCATGCCTCGATGGAAGGTAGAGTGTGGAGTCAGACCCCAAGTCCTGAGAAGCCCACCTGGTGTTTGCTGTCAGCCCAAGTCACAATGGGATTGGCTAACCATGACATTTTAAAATTTTCGCCCTGCCACCCATGCAAAATGTTTGCATTTGATAGAAATATTTTGCAAGGATTGGTTTTCCCAAGAACTCTTTTGTAGCCATGGAAATTTACATGATTCTGATGACTGAGAGCCTTGGTCTTCCTAACAGGAATATTAGCAAAGCAAGGGGTCGGGGACTGCTAGGTGTCCACTGACACGTTTACAGAGGCCATTGCCACAAAGTCATGCCTTTCTCCATCTATACGATAAGTGGAATAAAAAGCAAGAGTATCTAGCTTGGCACTGAGATTTGCTTAGTGTTTGTTTGCATGACTCTAGTCAGGAGACATCAGTAGTGTGAATCAAGCTTAAGACACCAACTCAAGTCCATCAAGTATTCATTAAAGAGCTTCTTCGGTGCCAGCCATGTTAGGTGCTGGTGACTCTACTGTGATCAGGGCACATCTGAAACAGATCAATGCCCAATCAGTTTAATGACCAGCATTTAAGCTATATATATAAGTTCATTCATATTGTAAAGAAAGAACTGTGTGTGAAACTCATTTTAATTGTGTATTTGTGGATGTATTTGTGTCTCAGCTTAGAATGCATGTTTCCTCTGGCTTGTGTCTAGAATGAATTCCTGCAGCAGGCCTGCTGTGTCCTGCTACTAAGTATGGCACCTGTGAGAGTAAGACCGTTTAGTTCTAGGGGCTGACTCACCAACACAGGTCTTTATTTAGAGGAAGCCGAGGCCAAGGCATCTAGCCTCTCAGAACTCCTGTGGGTTGGTTTCGCAGGGCTGTCCTTCTGTGACACGAAAGTTGAGGGCACTAACTGGTGACTTCTTTTGCTGCGATCCCCTCCAGGTGGCGATCCTCATCCCCTTCCGGAACCGCCACGAACACCTCCCTGTCCTTCTCAGACACCTCATTCCCATGCTGCAGCGCCAGCGGCTGCAGTTTGCATTCTACGTGGTTGAACAAGTGAGCCATCCTCTTTTTCTTTCCTCTTTCTCTTCTGAGACAGCAGTTAAGAATGCTGTAAGCCAGCCCATCTCAGGTGTGGAGAGCCAGTAAAACTGAAACATTAGGCTTGAGTTGCCCTGAGGTGGAAAGGGAGCAGAGGGCAGTTGTGTGCTCGTAGTTTCCAATGCTCGTTGTCCAATACCAGGCACACTTGAGTCTGGGGGATCTGTTTGCTCTTGAACAAAGTCCTCTTGTATGGAGGTTTTGCCAGTGCCCAGTTCTGGTGATGTCTTCAGGCTCTATACCCAGGAAGTTCCCCTAGAGATAACTGTGTCAGGGTCCAGCACAGAGTACGGGCCTTGGAGTCAGGAAACCTTGCTGCTTGTCCTGTATCTGCTATTAACCACCTGGCCTGGGACATTTGCAACTTCTCTAAAGTCTCAGGGTTGGGTTTCGTTTTAATCTTAAAAGTAATGGGATTGAACCAACTATAGAGGTCACAGACTGGACACTCATGTCATAATTCAGTCTATATATCTTTTGTTTTTGGTCCTATATAATATTTTCCGTTTGCCTTTAGACAGAGCACGACTATCCTGCTGTCGTTTCTCTCTTCCTGGCCTAATTCACACATTTCCATCACTGACGTGGCTTTTGTCGGCATTTTTAAAGCATGTAGCCCTTGAACTACAGGCACTGTGGGTGATAGGCGGTTTATGGATTACCCTGAGTACCTTGGTTCTCAGTGTGAAGTCCTTTTGCGTCGCCTCCCCCCTTCTCTGCAAGCACTCCCTAGGGCCTCATTTCCGGTGTTTCCCTAATTGGTCCTTGTGTGGCTTGCCTTATACCACAGTGAAGAAAAGGTCTGAGTACCACCGTGCCACCAGGGGCAGGCACGCTCTGTGCCTATCCCAAGCTGAGCATTTTGGCACTAGCAAGGCAATGCATTTAGACTGATTAGACTGTAGCCGATGTGAACTGGTCTCTTCATGAGCCAATGACTTCTTTGATCATAGGTCTGAGTCCCTGGTGTGATCTATGTCTGCTGTCTTAGTTGTAACTTCCAAATAGGCAAAACAAATCTCTCTTCATACTATACATGGTTTATGAAATAGGACAGTTAACAGGTTATTCAGTATGACGAGTGGTCAAAAGGGTAAATGATACTGTTATTCTCTCCTACCTTTATGGAGCTGGGAGCTCTTCTAAATGCTGTTCTCTGGTTGAATTCTGCCTTCAGTAGTTTTGGCAGAGAGGAACTTGGGTTTACCATCACTTTTATTAAATCAGGGTCAGAGGTCATTTGACTTCTAGGCCATATTATGAGCGAGTTGTGATGTGGTGCCGGACCTCCTTGTTATAGCCCAGTGATCTTTTTCAGTCAATTTTGATAAATTTTTCTTTAGGCAGGGCAAAGGTAGCACATTCGTTTAAAAATAAAATTCTGTTTCTTTCAGGTTGGTACCCACCCCTTTAATCGAGCCATGCTTTTCAACGTTGGTTTTCAAGAAGCAATGAAGGACTTGGATTGGGACTGTCTGATTTTTCATGATGTGGATCACATACCAGAAAGTGATCGCAACTATTACGGATGTGGCCAGATGCCAAGGCATTTTGCAACTAAATTGGATAAATATATGTATCTGTGAGTATCATTTCCTCTTAATAAAAAGAGGTTAAATCCAAAAGGATGGTGAGAGATGCAAAGATGACAAAATCTGATTAGCTGCAACCCAGATGTCCGTCAACTGATCAAATAGATGATCCAAATGTGGTCTATTCATACAGTTGGAATACTACTTGGTAGTCAACAGGAATGAAGTCCTGTTGTGTGCCAAAACACGGGTGGACTTTGAAAACACTTAGTTAAAGGTGCCAGTACTAAAGTTATATTATATAATATACATTATATAGTTCCTTTTATCTGAAATGTCCAGAACGGGCAAATCCCTCTGGAACACAGGTGAGTGGTTGCTTAGGACTGAGGGACTTGGCAGGAGAAATTGTTGTGGGAGATGACTGCTAATGGGTACAAGATTTTTAGGGGTTCAGTGAATGTTCTAATACTGATTTTGGTCATGGTTGCCCAACTCAGTGAATATACTAAAAGCCATTGAATTGCACACTTTCAAATGGGTACGTTGTATGTGTATTTGTTATATCTCATAAAGCTGTGATTAGTGATCAATTAGGGAAAATTAATTTTGTTACTCAGGCTCATACATGCCAACATGAGAAACAAATTCCCATGATTCTGGTCAGGGCCACAGAAAGATGGCCTGTTCCAGGAAAACGCCACCCTGAGGTGCACAGATGGCTGATGCTCTGCGTCTCCTCCTAGGCTTCCATATGCTGAGTTCTTTGGCGGAGTGAGCGGCTTAACAGTGGAGCAGTTTCGGAAAATCAATGGCTTTCCTAATGCTTTCTGGGGTTGGGGTGGAGAGGATGACGACCTCTGGAACAGGTATTACCCCCTCTTTTGGTGTTTTCTAGAAATGCTGCTTTAGACTACAGACCGTTGTGTCCAAGAGGAACATAATGCCAGCCATATGTGTAATTTAAAGTGTTCTAATAGCCACATTTTTGAAACTGATTTTAATAATTTTAATATTATATTGCATTAAATATATAACATAGTAAACATGATGTTTTAACATGTAACCAATATAAAGCATTAGTGAGATATTTCACATTCATTTTTTCTTATTAAATCTTTGAAATCCAGCGTGTATTTTACACTAATAGCATAAATTACTTCTTAGTAGCCACATTTTAGCCATTAGTAGCCACATGTGGTTTTTGACCACTGTATTGGATAGAGCAGCCCCACACAATTTTTATTTTTATTTGTTATTTTGAATCAAGGTTTCACTCTGTTGCCTAAACTGGAGTGCAGTGGCGTGAGCATGGCTTACTGCAGACTCTAGCTCCTGGGCACAAGTGATCCTCCTGTGTCAGCCTCTCAAGTAGCTGGCACTACAGGCACTCACCACCACACTTGGCTAATTTTTCTATTGCAGAGCTCTCTCTCTGTTGCCTATGCTGGTCTTGAACTCCTCACTTCAAGCAATTCTCCCTCCTCAGCCTCCTAAAGTGCCTGGATCATAGGTGTGAGCTTCACAAAGTGTTTTCTCTCATTGGATTTTTTTTTAAGTTGGAGTCTCACTCTGTCGTGCAGGCTAGAGTGCAGTGGCATGCTCATGGCCACTCCAGTGTCGACCTGCTGGGCTCCGGTGATCCTTCTACCTTAGTCTTCCAAGTAGCCGGAACTATAGGCACGCACTACTACACCCGGCTGTTTGTTTGTTTATTTATTTATTTATTTATTTATTTTAGAGACAAGGTCTCGCCAAGTTGCCTGAGCTGGTCTCGAACCCATGGGTTCAGGCAATCCACTTGCCTTCGCATCCCAAAGTGCTGGGATTACAGGCTGAGCCACCGAGCCTGGCTCTCTCATTGGATTTTAAACTCTACGTTTCATCTAAGCAGCTATTTTCATTTTTTTCCCTTTTTTTTTGTGAGTCAGAGTCTCACTCTGTCACCCAGGTTAGAGTGCAGCAGCATGCTCACGGCCACCACACCTCGACTTGCTGGACTCAGGCGATCCTTCTGCCTCAGCCTTCCAAGTAGCTGGAACTACAGATGCACGCTACCATGCCCTGCTAATTTTTTGATTTTATTGTAGAGGTGAGGTCTCGCCAAGTTGCCCAGGCTGGTCTCAAAACTCCTGGACTCAGGCAATCCTCTCGCCTCAGCCTCCCAAAGTGCTGAGATTACAGGCGCTTGAGCCACTGCGCCTAGTAGTTAGGTACATAAATAATCTACATGCAGGTGAAGTTTAGGTCTCCAACTGGTCCTCACTTTCCCTGATTTAGGATCAGGAACACTTTGTGTTGTTATGTCCCATCTTTTTTTCTCCACTGACATGCAAAAGTAAATAGTTAGCAATTTTTCTTATAATAATATGCTCATTGTAAAATACACTTTGAAAACTCAGAAATGATATGTTACTATTTCATTGATTTATTCTGTCTTTATAAAGTGAAAAATAATTTTATATCCCTGCATCAGTTTTTTTAAAGTAGTAGTGATGGGACAGATCTCAGGACTGTGAGGATCAGGTGAGATCATGTGTACGAGGCTCTTCTGTAGAGTCTGACATGTGAGCAGCTCTTGCCAAGTGCAACTGCTCTTGCTATATCAACTGCTTTTGCTATATCAACATTAATTATGCCTTGCAAGCAGGATATCACATGGCTCCATTTCATTCCATTCTATAGATGTGTTGTAATTTATGTAACTGTTCCCTGGGGTATATTTAGAACCTTGTCAGTTTTCATACCATCAGGATTGTGGCATAGTAGATGTTCTTTTACCTATTTTTTATTCCTACTTAGGAAAAAGTCCTGGAAGTGGATATAGCCATTTTGAGCCTTCTTGTTTAATGCTGTACTTTAGTGGATGCAAATAAGGCTCTCAAGAGATATCATAACTAAGTGCCTCCCTCCTGCCCTTAGGTTTTACCTAAGTGCCTGTTTCCTTGAACCTTTCTACACCGAGGAGTGGGGAATTAGTGCTGTGTGTGCACAGTTGCATCCATGCCATCCTACAGGGCTTGTATTGTCCAGATGTGTGGGAACAGTCCTGTGTGTGAGTGGTGTAAAGTAGTATCTTACAGAGTGAGTAAATAATAACCTAATAAGGAGCAGATGTCAAGAAATCGCCACCTTGTATCTTTCTATTTTTTTATTTTTTATTTTTATTTTTATTTTTTGAGTTGGAGTCTCACTCGGTCGCCCAGACTGGAGTGCAGCGGCCACTCCCGGCCACCACAGCCTCGACCTGCTGGGCTCCGGTGATCCTTCCGCCTCAGCCTTCCGAGTAGCCGGAATTACAGGCACGTGCTACCATGCCCTGCTGATTTTTTGATTTATTGTAGAGATGAGATCTCGCTGCCCAGGCGGGTCTCGAATCCGCGGGCTCAGGCAGTCCACTCACCTCAGCCTCCCAAAGGCGCGGGATTGTATCTTTCTAGCTTGGCTTTTAAAACAAATGTGTATATTGGTTGTTAATTACAATGAATTCTTTACTGATAAAAGTTTAGATGACACAGAAGTGTATAAACCAAGCTTAATTCCCATCACCATGCTCTTTCGTTTCCTGGAATTAGCCATTTTAACAAGCGATTTTTTCTACACTTTTCTCTACTTATATAAAAACTGAGTTAAAACACAACCCAGTGAGTTAGGTAAACAGAGGTGAGCAAGAAAACCTTTGCTGTGCACTTTTGCCAGGGTAAGCTTGTCTTGTGTCTCCTGGGCTTCGGCCCCTCCTGGGTGTTACCAGCGAGTCTAAAAGTCTGTTCTCTTGGTCTTGACAGAGTACAGAATGCAGGCTACTCTGTGAGCCGGCCCGAGGGGGACACGGGCAAGTACAAGTCCATCCCTCACCACCACCGTGGAGAAGTCCAGTTTCTTGGAAGGTCGGTGTGGTTCACCCATCCCTCCTGCAAGTGTCCCCTGTATTCTGCATGCTCTCCAGCCTTCGGCTGTCCCCCCACCCCGTCCTGTTCTGGCAGCTGTTGGGCAGGTGCTACTTATACTCTCATTTAACGTGGAAACAAACATTTGGGGGTGAAATCAGAACACCAGTGAAAATTTCAAAGAAAGATCTTTTAAGGATCTTTCTCGTTCCACTTCTTAAGCATTGCAATCTCCTCTGTAGCCTTTAAGGACTTAGAGAACATTCTGCTTGGGTAAAGGTCTGTGTGGAACTTGTGCTGATCTGACATTCAGTGGCACCCTTCTGCAAGTCTCAGCTCTGAACAGGTATTCTTGAGCTCTGTGTGGCGGCAATTACTGAATTACCCTCTTTTCTGTTTTGTTTTGTGTTTTTTTTGTCTTTGTGAATTTGTGTTCTCTAGACAACCAAGTCTAATTGCCTAAACTCTGTTTTCATGGGAGTAAAAGGGTACTGAATACAAACTATGAACTTTCTCATCTGTTCTGTTTTTTTAAGGGTTTTATTTTATTATACAGTGTATTTAATGGCACTTCCCCCCCCTTCTTTTTTTTTTTTTTTGAATCGAAGTCTCACTCTCACCTAGGCTGGAGTGCAGTGGCACAATCACAGTTTATTACTGCCTTGACCTCCTGGGCTCAGGCAAGCCTCCCACCTTAGCCTCCTGAGTACCTGGGAGTATAGGTGTGTGCTACCATGCCCAGCTTGTTTCATATCTTACTTCCCACCTCCCCCTCTCTGTGACCTTGGGCAAGTCATGTCACATTATTAAGCCTTGGTTTCCTCATTTGCTTTCAGGGATGAGGTGGGGGGGGGTCATTAAGTTAAATAGTAAGTAACCTGGCATGAAATAGGAGGTGTTTCTAATAACAGCAGCAGCGTCCAGCTGGAGTGGTAGAGTGGCTGCTGTGTCTGCTCGTGCTGCTGAGGGGCTGCCCTGGGCCGTGTCCTCTCCTGAGGCTGCCCTGCTCTGTCCTCCAACTGGCCTGGGGTCCTCACTCAGAGCACCTCTTTGCCCTCTGCCTAAACAGGTACGCTCTGCTGAGGAAGTCGAAAGAACGGCAAGGCCTGGATGGCCTCAACAACCTGAACTACTTTGCAAACATCACGTATGACGCCTTGTATAAAAACATAACTGTCAACCTAACGCCCGAGCTGGCTCAGGTGAGCGAGTACTGAGGAGAGGGCATGTCCACTGGCTCCAGCCACCGCCACCGAGAAGGCCGTTGAATGAGATGTGGTGGGGTCTGCAGGGGAGAGTATAGAAATCCAGTGTCCCATGAAGGATCACAGGGTTCAAGGAAAAAATGTGACTGCACACGCACAACGCCTTCACCGTACCCACGCTGGGACCGAGGGAGCCAGCTTGGGGACCCCTCGCCAGCATTGGCTTTTTGTTTTCTCAAGACAGACATCTGTCCTGCTGCTGTCCCCTGTCTGCTACTCCCACGTCCTATCTTAGCCACAGTCTCCAGAACCCATGAAGAATTGTCACCTGCCACAGTCCTGCTGTGGAACCTGTCCCTACAAATGACCCTTGGAACCTCTTGGCCTTCAGAGAAAAGAGGCAAACCCCCACAGGGCAGCTGCGTCCCAGGAAGAGCAAGCAAAACTCCACACGCCATCCTTCTCTGTCTTTGGTGTTCTCCTTGGGTTCGTTTTTTTAAAAAATTACCTGCTTTGGGTGGGGATTGAGGGTGGAGGGGAGGGCTTGGGAAAGATAAATAGACATAAATATATAACAATCACTTCTTGAAGAAGTATAATTGTAAATAAGCCATGTAAAATGCCTTTTTTAAATTTAATTTTATAGCTGGCTGCAATTCAAACCGAGGATTTATACATTAGATCACATATCTGATTGACAAACGCAGTTGACGGATATCATCTCCCAGATTGCTGTCACTTTGGGAAGGGAGTGGATCTAGAGTATGTCACAAAAGTAGCTGGCTTCCGCCCCTCTCCCCTTCCACGGGTCTTGCTCTCGACTCTGCTCTGGGTTTGCTTCTTCCGCTGGCCACAAGCGCTCATGCCCATCTTCCCTGCTGAAAGCAGGCCCTCCCGGGAGCTTGCTGTGCACAGCCCAGCTCTCTGGACTTGATTTTGGTCTTTTCATCTTTGTGGAGAGAGGGTGGGTGTTATGTGGGGATCCTATTCCCCTTTTGTTTTCCTGTGGAACTTAGCCACAGTTTCTGAAAGATGTGCCTGAATTACCAGCTGGCTTCAGTGATTCCTCTGCTTCCCTTTCGGTTTCTGGAATAATTCTTTGTCGACATCATTCATGAGTATGTAGAACTAATGAGAATTGAATCAGGGATAGTCAGCCAGGGATCGGTGACACGCATGTCATGGTCAGCTGGATCCAAGAAAGACCAGGTCATGGCTCTGATGTTAGCCTAATGCAGCCCCAGCGGGTGAGGCCAAGCATGCTGCTGGCAGCACCTGCCCTCTGAGGTCCTGCTCTCAATGGCATCTGAACGTGTGCCTCTCTGTGCTTCCCTGAACCAAAGCCTTCAGCTCATAGTCCCTGCCAGCTTCACAGAATTCTGGAAAATGCGTTTTGTCCCTTCTTTTCCACAGAACATATTTATATATTGTGATTAGAAGTACTTTGTGGAGGGTACTTCATATTTTTTTTAATTGCCTTGTTTGCCTTCAACTTCCTTAATTTTCATGGTTTACATGGGTGGAGGGGTGTGTATAAGTGTGGGTGGGGCTTTTTTGTTGCATGTGATGGTTCCATGGACATATGATCCCCACAGACTGTGGGAGTGATTGGCCAGGCCTTGTTTTTGTGTTTTTTTTTTTCTTTTGAGGATAGAGTGGTGTTTAGAGAATAGATCGCATTGCAAAGCTCTTATCAGCTGGTATGAGAGAGCAGGCATCTGCCCTTGAACATGCTGGTAAGTTGGAGTGAATGTTTTATAAGAATTCTAAGCATATCATGCTTTAAAATACCTTCATGAGGGAACATTACACGGAGGAGTTCACTTGGTTTATGGCGCATATAGCAATAAAGAGTCCCCCCTCCCTCAACCCAGGCCTTGGGGCCACCCATGGCCCTGCTTGCCCTTCTTGTTTCTCCTTTTTGTCCCTGAAGGCCGTTAGTTGCTTTCAGTGTGACAGCACTATGATGTTGCTTTGGAAGGATTTGCCATGACGGACTCCTTCTCGATTGAGGACCGTAGGCTGATCCGGTTTGAAGCTGTACATCAGCAGAATTGCCATCCAGCACTGACTGCTGGCAAAAGGCTGACGCCTGACCTGCAACAGAAGCTGCTGGTTGGAGAACAGAAGGAAAGGTCTCCTCACTGCTTGATCAGGGTCTCTTAGTTCTCCTGCGGTCACATCTGCTTGTGTTATTAGTGTGGAATCTCTTAGCGTGCGTGGGCAGTCACGCAGCCACCAAGTCCCAGGTGTCATGTGGGAAATGTCATGAAGACACACAGCCAGGCCCAGGTGCTGCTAACAGCGTGAAATTCTCATGTTCCAAAAAAGAACAGTAAGAACCAAGTGTGACCTTGTGCGTGTATTGGCAGCTGAAATTCTTCAAGGCTGCCAATGGTGGCCCCTTAAGTCCGTCTTGTCTTTGATTGCCATGTGCGGGGAAGTTTCCCCTTTCGTGCTTTTTTTTTCCCCCGGAAGAGGGGGTAGTTGGAAAAAATGCTCGTTTTGACATAGTAGGGACCGTGTCTGAGGTCCACAGACGTCAGTGGCTGGGCAGCGGCCACATGGAGTGACTGTATCCACTCACCAGTGGCGATGGCATTGAACGTAGCTGGCTTATTTCCATCACTATGTGTTTTAAGCTTGCTCTTATGTTTTAAGAGGTGCCAGGGGTACATTTTTGCACTGAAATCTAAAAATGTTTTAAAAACACTTTTCACAAAAATAGTCCTTTGTCATTACATTATTTACTCATGTGTTTGTACATTTTTGTATGTTAATTTATGAATGATTTTTTCAGTAAAAAATACATATTCAAGAACCAAACCTTGGTGGTCGTTTGTCTAGGACAATTTGGCTTCTAGGGGGATTTTTTTTCCCACAGGAGATCAGCTTCAAGCAGCTCGGCTGACCTCAGGGTGTCCCTGAGCAGTGCGCACAGAGCACCTGTGAGGCAGGGGCGCAACCCCCACTGTGCTGCCAGGCACCCCACACTTGGGCTTCTTTCAGGAATCACTCATCCGGGTGACACCAGTGAAGTCGAAGAAGACATTTGGGTGGGGGAGAGGGGCGATGAGGCTTGATGGAGTTTGGTTCTAGAAGGTTCTCTGGGACTGGTCCAGGGTTTGCATAGCTTCTGTGCACTGAACGTTTACCACTCACAGTATATGTCAGTAGGGCATCAAGTTCTGTGCCCAGGTGCTAGGGACATAAGGCTACGCAAAGTAAGGCAGGATCAGTGGCCTCATTAAACTTGGTGACACACTAGGGTGTGGGAGTTAAAGCGTTAACCACAGTCTCTGAAGGAGGTGGTGAGTGGGGGAGGTGGGGGTGAGCATTCCTGCTGGGCGTGGGGAAGGGGGAGTGGAGCTAGGGGGGACAGGAGCCTGGGGCAGGGAGGGAGCTGGTTGGTTAGAGCAGAAGGCAAGGGCCCATGGGGACTGCCGGGCACAGAAACAGGGCTGTGAGTGCAGGGCTTTGAAGGCCGAGGTGAGGCATGTGCAGTTCATCCTCAGAACCATGGGTACGAGTGTTTTCAGCAGGTAGGGCTGTGCGTGAGGTGATTTGGTTTGGATTGCCATTTAAGAGGGTTTGTAGCCGGGCTCGTGGCTCAGCCTGTAATCCCACGCTTTGGGAGGCCGAGGTGAGTGGATTGCCTGAGCCTGTGGGTTCGAGACCCGCCTGGGCAGCAAGACCTCATCTTTACAATAAATAAAAAAATCAGCCGGGCGTGGTAGCGCATGCCTGTAATTCCGGCTACTCGGAAGGCTGAGGCAGAAGGATCGCCGGAGCCCAGCAGGTCGAGGCTGCGGTGGCCGGGAGCGGCCACTGCACTCCAGTCTAGGCAACAGAGTGAGATTCCAACTCAAAAAAAAAAAAAAAAAAAAGAGGACTTGGGCTGCAGGGAGGAGGTGGTGGAGGCGGGATTGAGGAGGGGCAGGGCAGGGGTGAGGTGGGTGCCGGCTGAACAGAGAAGGGGATACCGAGGGCATGCCCAGGATTTGGCCAGGCTGTTGGGAGGGGGGGTCTCCCTCTCTATGATGCGTGGAGGGCAAGGCAAGGTCATTACCTGAGATGTGCCTTAGGGCCAGGCCAGGCTTAAGGGGATGGTGGGAGGTCACTTGTGCCCGTGCGGTCAGGGTTTTGAGACAACCAAGCACAGGCGGCCAGTAGGCCACTGTACCTATCCCAGGGCAGAGCCTTGAAGGCAGGTTGGGGCCACAGGTGGTTTTGGGAGCCTTGGGTGTGGGAGGCGAGTGGACACCCCAGAGTGTCTGGGAATGCCTGGGACTGAGAACAGGAAGCACACAGAGAAGGTAGCAGCCTTGGCCGGCCTCCAAGAACTCCCTGGTTGAGAAGGGGACAAACAGGCAGACGCAGTGGGAGACCAGGAGGCAGGGAGGCCGGGGGGGATCGAGAGGGAAGGGATCAGGCCGAAGGCAGCAGAGAGAGCCAAGAGGAAGAGGGAAAGCCACGGTTTGGCGACCAGAGGATGCCAGTGGCTGTCAGGAGCCACTTTGTTGACCTGGTGGGCCGGAAGCCACCCTGATGTGGTCGGGAGGAGGAAGTGAAGCAGCGGTGAGTATGGGCCTCTCTTGAATGTCCTGAGTGGGGTGAAAGGGAAGACTGGGCCAGCAGAAACATGGTGGCTCAGGGGGCCTTGGGCTTGGACTTTGCAACCAAAGAAGCTTGAGAGTATGAGTGTGAGTCGCCCAGGCTGGATTGCAATGGCAGGACCGCGGCTCACCACAACCTCGACCTCCAGAGTAGCTGGGACTACAGGTGTGCACCACCATGCTCGGCTAATTTTTTTTTTTTTTTGTAGAGACAAGGTCTCACTGTGTTGTCCAGGGTGGTCTTGAACTCTTGGACGCAAGCAGTCCTCCCATCTCAGCCTCCCAGAGTGCTGGGATTACAGGCACGAGCCACCGTGCCCAGCCTTAGTGCTTTTGAACCATAAGGAGTATCTATGTGGAAAGATAGCCAAGTATATACAAGGGATGAGGAATGATCCCATGGGAGTGTTCCTGAACCAGCAAGGGATGAGATTTTTTTTTTTTTTCCAGTCAAAGTCTCACTCCGTTGCCCAGGCTGAAGTGCAGTGACACGCTCATGGCCACCGCAGCCTCGACCTGCTGGGCTCCGGTGATCTTTCCACCTCAGCCTTCCAAGTAGCCGGAACTACAGACGCGCCCTACCACTTCTGGCTAATTTTTTCACTTATTTTAGAGATGAGGTCTCATCAGATTGCCTAGGCTGGTCTCGAACCCGCGGTCTCAGGCAATCCTCTTGCCTCGGCCTCCTAAAGTGCTGGGATTACAGGCTTGAACCACTGCACCCAGCAATTTTTTGATTTATAGTAGAGATGAAGTTTCGCCATGTTGCCCAGGCTGGTCTCAAACCCATGAACTCAGGCAATCCTTTCACCTCAGCATCCCAAAATGCTGGGATTATAGGAGGTGAGATTTTTTTAAAAGACAAAAACCAAATGGGAGGATTTACGAGCTCTTAACAGGCTGTCTCATTGCCGGGCCCAGGCACCCCATGAAGGCCAGTGCTGCAGCTCAGAAAGTCAAGGCTCCCTTCCTGCCCGTTGCCAGATGGGGATTCAGCAGGACTGGTTCTTGGTGCAGTCACTTCCTCCCCACTCTCAAACCTTTTACGTTTGCAGGAGGTCCAGTCCGAAAAATAGTAGTTCCCATTTCTTGAGCACTTGTTGAGTGCCAGGGTTTGTGCCAACCTGCAAGCCTCGACCCTGCACCCGCCTTGGTGCTGCCTAGACCAGGCGGGCCACTGTGCACACTGCAGGCTGTTTAGCAGCACCTCAGGCATCTGCCCTCTAGGTGCCAACCACAAATGTCGCCGGACATTGGCAAATGGCTTCTGGGAATGCAACGCAGCTGTTGCCCTCGGTGCAGAAGCCACAACTCGCCTGAGGTCACCGCCTGCAGCTGAGCCTCTAGGCTGCCTCACTGACCCCCGCTCTTTTACATATGTGCTTTTTATAGCCTTTGTTGTTCACAAATTACACTCTGTAGCAAGATTCTCTCTTCCGTGGGCTGTTGTCTTGTTATGCCTCACCGTTTTCGTTACAAATAGTTACCAATAGGATGTTTTCTAACACGAGTTTTCCTCTCATTTTCTAGGTTCTCCTCCAAACTTTGTAAGTTTTTATGAAAGTGTAGTATACATCCAGAAAAGTTCATACATCTTTTTTTTTGAGTTGGAGTCTCACTGTCACCCAGACTGGAGTACAGTGGCACGCTCCCGGTCACCGCAGCCTCGACCTGCTGGGCTCTGGCGATCCTTCTGCCTCAGCCTTCCGAGTAACTGGAACTACAGGTGCGCACTACCATGCCCGGCTAATTTTTGATTTATTGTAGAGTTGGGATCTCACAAGTTGCC